AACGGATTTGGACCGAATTCATGATGTGAGCTTGCGTTTAAGATCTACAAATTCAGAAATCTGTGCTATGCAGGCATCTTCAGTTTGTTGCAGCACATCATCGAAAATCTTTCCAAACTCAATTTTAGGGTGTCGGAAAAGCCTTTGCGAAACCTAAGAATTTCTAGGATTGCACATTATTTGGATCTGTAATGCGATAAAAAATGCTACTGCCAACACAACACTCTTTCGCATACTCTACTTGAAACACTGGAAATTGAATGTTTTTGGTGTTTGTTAAATGCTTATCAGCTACAAGCTAAAATAAGAATTTTTTAAAATTTTCTCAAGCCTTCTAAAGCTATACAAATTACGGATTTCTTAATCCCCAAACTGGTGCCTAGTAACAGGGCCTTTTTGCTTGCCAGGAGTAACGCTCGAACCATCGGTGCGGGTATTCCTCCTTGTTAGTTTTACTGAGGTGCTCCCGTAAGCCAGGCATGTCAATGCCACCCCGCCCCTCTCCCACCCAGCCCTACCTTCCCTCTCTAATCCTGGGCTGCATACCTTTTTGTAAAACTCATCGCCGACACTGCTCTTTTGAAGAAAGCCCAAGTGGCCGTTTACCTATTGCAGGTACCACTCTCTAATGTGAGAGGTCTACCAACTCGTAACCTGCACAGCGAATTTTCGTTTCTTGCTTGGCAACAATATTTTACAAATGGCTTGCCAGACGGAGAGTCCGATTGCTTATATGGTCACGAAGAAGCACTTCAAGTTTTTTTGCACCATTGCTCTCTTTACCAGCTCCTGCTTTTTCAGATCAGCATTGCTTGCCAAAAACAACAAAAAAAAAGTTAAACACAATGGGGTGGCACTGGTGAAAAGGCCATTGGATGTTAATAGATAAGAATTGCTAAAAAACACGCATGCAAAAAATTTACAGAGTTTTGGAGATCTTAGCTAAAGTGAAGCTTCTTGCACTGATCTTTTGGCATCTTGTTTTGAAGGGTGTTCGGCCGTAAAAAGTCATGAAACACTTATTGTTGTCAGTGTTTCAATCAGAAAATCTAAATGAGGGAAATTTCCAGTCTTGTATTAACAATAGCAGTATTAGTTGCAACACGATTCCAATTAAAGCGCCATTCATGAAGGAAAATGAGCTATTATCCCTCAAAACTATCAATTGAAGTCTAATTACAAATCTTGCGGTGGCCACAGAACTCATACAATAATACTTTCCAGTTTAACGCTCTTCAAAAACTGTGTAAGTAATGGATTATGCTGTTGATCTGGATATTTGATAGTTTCAAGCTTCAGTTCGACCCACATCCATACGCGGCAAGCGACCAAAGGTGTTGTCGAAATTTTCCAGTGCAGTTGAAAAGCGACGTTTAAATTTTGTCTCTGATGGATACAACTTGCTATTTCCTCGATCAAATTTATAACTGCATCTTTTGCTTATTTCCGTTTCGTTCACTATCGCGGCAGAAGAGAAATGGCTGACGGATGAGGAATAAAGGGAATTATAACTTCATGCCAACCCGGTTATGCACCTTTCACGACCAAATATGCGAAATTATCAGAGTGGTTAAATACCTTTATAACAAAAATTGTCTTTATAACAGAAAACGTGTGATTTTGTGAATTTGTGTAAATTAGAAATTCTTTATGTATACTTGTGAATAAAAATTTTTTCATTTCCTTGCTTGTGAATAAAAATTTTGTTGAAAACGAAAAATTTTTCTGAATATGCGAAATTTTCCAGCAAAATATGCGTTATGCACTGAAAAGGGGCGTCAGCTAGGATGGGGGTAATATATTACGAAGAAAATGATTTCTATGGAAAATGATTCGAACTACTTCGAATTAAAAAAAATCCGATCTTCAGTAGCTGATATTTGTCTTTACTAAGCTTTTTGTTCGTTCTTTGATAATTTTCGACAAGAATTATGTATTTGGTTAATATTGCTACAAAAAATTGCGCATTCGGAGCCATAATTCTGTGAAATCTATACTA